GGCGTGCTGAGCCACGAGCAGGTGCGCGACCGCGTCGTGCGTGCGTTCCTCATTGAGGAGCAGCGCATCGTGAAGCGCGCGCTCAAGGCCCACGCCAAGTCGCAGAAGGAGAAGAAGCGCCGCGACTCCAAGAAGAAGCGTAAGGAGGAGAAGATGAACGCCATCACGAAGAAGATCGCGACGAAGATTGGCGCGAAGTCCTCCATCGCGAAGAAGGCAGTGACGAAGAAGGCGTCCGCGAAGGCCCCCGTTGGCGCAACGCTCAAGAAGAAGTAGAGGCGCCATTGCACTTTCCCAATCTTGATTGATTTTCGTTTGTTTTATTTACTCATGCGTCACGGCGCCCATCCGTCGGCTCCCACTTGCTGCTGCTGCTGTTGTTATTGTTGCTGTTTCTATTCAACGGTATGACCCCCTTTCTTCTCTCTCCTTTTTTTTTGTGTTTCTCCTTGTGCCCGTCTGTCTGGCCGACTGCTGTGATTTGTGTGTGTGTGTGTGCCTCCGCCGCAGGTCCGCAACAATGGGATTCTTCGACTCCGACCTCAGCTACCCGACGGTGCGCTCCGAGCGCATGAAGCACAAGCGCCGCCGCTTGGTGCAGGGCCCCAACTCGTACTTCATGGACGTCAAGTGCCCCGGCTGCAACGCCATCACCGTCGTGTACAGCCACGCCACAACCGAGGTGCAGTGCAACGGCTGCGCCACGAAGCTCTGCCGCCCCACTGGCGGAAAGGCGATGCTGACGACCGGTTGCGGCTTCCGCAAGAAGCCAGACCACTAAACCCTAACAGCAAGTTGAGCGGACTGATTTAGCTTTCCTTTGATTTTATCACTCGTTAACGCGTGCATCGGTGCCTCTGTGGGTCTGATTTCCCGCGTGTGCGTGTGTGGCTGCCGCTGCTGCTCCTGCTGGTGCTATAGCCGTCTCTTTTCCTTCTTTCCTTTCTGTTTTTGTTTTGCCTTCTTGTCGCTCCTTGTGTGTGCGTGCGTGCGTGTGTGTCTGACCGCACCTCCTCACCACTCCCCACCAAAAAAAAAAAAAGGCCTTTTGACGCGGCAACAATGTCGAAGATCCCCCCAGCGCAGCTCTCTGAGGCCATCCAGGCCGTCCTCACCGCCCGCAAGGAGCGCAAGTTCAAGGAGAGCATTGACCTGCAGGTGAACCTCAAGAACTACGACCCGCAGAAGGACAAGCGCTTCTCCGGCTCAGTGCGCCTTCCGCACGTCTGCCGCCCGCGCATGACCGTCTGCCTGCTGTGCGACCTCGTGCACGAGGACGTCGCCAAGAAGAACAACGTGCCGACGATGAACCAGGAGGAGCTGAAGAAGCTTAACAAGAACAAGAAGCTCGTTAAGAAGATGTGCAACCAGTACGATGCCTTCCTGTGCTCTGAGTCCATCATCAAGACGGTGCCGCGTCTGGTGGGCCCTCACATGCATCGTGTTGGCAAGTTCCCGACGGTGTGCGCGATGAGCGAGAGCCTGCCGGAGAAGGTGGTTGAGCTGCAGTCGACGGTGAAGTTCCAGCTGAAGAAGGTACTCTGCCTCGGCACCTGCGTCGGCCACGTCGATATGAATGAGGACCAGGTGCGGCAGAACACCGTCATGGCGCTCAACTTCCTGGTGTCGCTCCTGAAGAAGAACTGGCAGAACCTCAAGTCGGCGTACATCAAGTCAACGATGGGGAAGCCGCAGCGCATTTACTAAATGAGATGACAGAGCGGTGAGACAGAGATGCCATGGTGGTATTATTGTGTGTTTTCCTTTTCGGAGAAATGAAGAGAGGGAGGGTTCGGCCAAACGAGGGATTTTCCTACAAGCAGGGGGCGTGATGTGAAAATGAGCAAGAAAAAGGATGATGGCAAATGCTACCATTTTGCACTAGCCACTTTTTTTTTTCTTCCGTTTCCCCCATCCGCTTCCTCTTGTTTTCCCGAACAACTCATAAGTGCTTCTTCTTCTTCTTCCTTTCGACCCTTCTTGGCTCTTGTATGGGCACAACTCGCATTCGCGAGATGCGCCACATTGGGAGTGATGCATCAATTTCGTTTTGTTTCATTTTGTAAACAATAAAAAAAAGACGCGCTGCATGCGCCAATAAAATGTGAAAAAAAAAACACAGTCTGACGCGAAGGCAGAGGATGCTGGCAACTTTCCACCCCAGAACGGGCCCTCTCTCTCTCTCTCTCTTCCTCACCTTTGTTTCGTTTTTGAAGGCGTGTCGGGGTGCCGGTATAGGAAGCGGTAGCAACAATAGTGGCACCGGGCGAAAATACGGAAGGAGAGAGGAACGCTGAAGTCCGCAAGAGAACTCTCATATTATTCTTTTCATTGGGCTTTTGCCTGGCACGTCAATGAGCTTTGCGCCGCCGCGTAAGCCAAAGACGGTGGTGGTAACGTCTTCCTACACGCAGAGGAAAGGAGAGGCAACTGAGCGTGACGCTCAGTCTCTCCCCACACAGCGACATGCAGCATCAACTTGCTTCACACCTTCATGCGTAGCCGTGCGGGGACGAATGCGACAGTACGTGGAGAGCATTCGCCAGCAGAGAGCCACACAGGAAAAAGTGCCGCTCTCAACGTCGTGTTCGAGGAGCAGGCATACAGCGCTTCGGGGAGCATGGACGAGAAAGGAATCACCCGCGCCGTCACACTCGCCGCGCCGCCGTGGAAAGGGAGCGGTGGAAAGTGGCACTGCCTTCGGTGCGCCTCTGCACGAATTTAGTAAAATGCGTCCTGGCGCATTGAGACAGCAGACGACCAGCATGCGCACGGAAGCGTTTCGTCGGTCTCTTTCCTCACCTCATGCGTCTCTTCCCGTGGTTGATCCACAACATCATCACTCTTCCCCGTATCCCCACCACCGTGCCAGTGATGGAAGCGCCGCTGAGAGCAGAGGCGACGATGGCGACGAAGATGGTGTGAGCAACCCATACATCCGATCTGTGCTGCGAGGGGCGGAGCAGCGCTGGATACCACCATCATTGGTGCAAACCCCATTCAACTACCGAAGCCGCAGCCAAGGCCTGCTGGAGTACGACAAGGAACACACATCCTACCTCTCGCGCCGTGACTTGGTTCGTGAATGGAAGAACAAAATCCGGCGCAGCCCTGACATGAAGGAAAATCAGTTGGCAAGGCGTGTTAGAGGTGCAAGCGATGCTGAAGGCAAACACTGTGAAGAAGAGAGAGACCCGAAGGGGCTATATACTTTGGGAAGTCCAGGTCCTGGGTATTGGCCAGGTGCACTTATGCCACCATCATCCATGCAAGCAGGCTCTCTGAGTGAATGCACAGACCGGTCACCAGAGAAGCGATGGGAGTACCTGCAGGCCTTGCAGTCATTGGGAAGGCAACAGGGAATAGAAGAGGGCGGCGGCGTGCGCCCTACTTTTGACATCAGTAACGCAGAAAGAGATGGTCAAGTGTTGGCTGGGCCCAAGAGTGACCTCAACCCGTGTTATTGTGACGATGGCGAGGACCCGCGTGCCTATCTTTACGCTCCACTACCAAGTATTGATTCATCTTCGGAAAAAAGGGGCTTTGGTGTGGCATCCACAGTGATAACTGCGGCTCCAGTTGCAGTGTCAATGCCCCAGCAGGAAAACGCTGACTTTCCTCTTTATCTCCACTCCACAAACAGGGTGTGCACCTCAGAGTTGACGCTAGAGTGTGAGGGTGGCACTGTTGCCACAGCACCTGCTGAAAGTAAGTTACACCAACAAGGTACTGTATCCTTTGCGGACACACCCTCCGGTGCCGTTCCTTTAAGTGACAATCCAGACGACGGTGTGGCGAACTATTTGATTGCACAGGAAACCGAAATAGTGGACACATTTGGCAGGGTGTGGGCTGTGGCGTCGGTGCCATCGATTGGCAAGGTCTGTAGTCACAATGAGAGCTTTCCAGCAGTTAACGCACCTCGCGGCTGAGCCAATTCAAGGTGTAACGTTCCCATGGACTCATTGTAAATTTGTACGAACGCGTGAACTGTGTCGAAGATCAATTATCTCTGCAACGATCATTTCTTGATTGTAAGCGCTGAATCCTTGCATTATGATGAGAAACAATACTACCCTCAAGGCCTGAGTGAAGTAAGGCAACGCGAAGATACCTGGGTATGCGTTTATGACGCTTTGTACTGCTCCCTGCCGACAGCTGAGTTCCTTAATCTTACATCTTTTCCTGATTGCTCCCCTTATCTTCTTTATGGATCGCATTTCTTCTACTCTGCAGCCACGTCCGCACAAGCGCACGCTACTCATACACATACATACTCTCTCTCTTACTGCAGGACAATAGGTTTATAAGGTGAGTTAACGTGAGCGCTCCTATTTAGCATAACCAGAAACACACCAAGAAAGATTTTTCTCATTGCGTGGAGTGACGAAGCAAAAACGAATTGGTAACTATGGTGTCAGCAGTACACCTAGGACAATATCTCCTCGGGAAAAAGATTGGCTCCGGCAACTTCTCCACTGTGCGACACGGCACGGACCAGAATGGGCGCATGTGGGCCATTAAGATCATAGACAAGTCCCGGCTCAGGAAGGAGAATATGGAGGATCAAATGCGGCGTGAGGTGGCTATCATGCGCTCACTTAGACACAATAATATCATTGAGCTTCATGATGTATTGGAATCCGGTAACCATTACTACCTTGTTTTGGAGTTGGTTGCAGGAGGTGAGCTGTTTGATAAGATTGTTGCAGCAAAGCGCTTTGATGAGCCGACGGCGAGAGGCTACTTCCATCAGATGATTGCTGGTATGCACTATTGCCACAGCAAGGGATTTGCCCACCGCGATCTAAAGCCAGAGAACCTGCTACTTGACATAAATGGAACGCTAAAGGTTTCTGACTTTGGACTCAGCAACCTTCAGCAAGATTATCTTTTACAGACTGTATGTGGGACGCCAAACTATGTGGCACCTGAGGTTTTGATGGAGCGTGGATACAATGGTTTATCTGCTGACATATGGAGCTGCGGTGTTGTGTTGTACGTGATGCTTGCCGGCCGTCTACCGTTTGAGGACCGTAACATGAATGCTCTACTGGCGAAGATTGAGCGCGGTGAGTATCATATGGTGCGGCACGCATCAGATGCAGCAAAGGATTTAATATCGCGGATGCTAACAGTGGACCCCAAGAAGCGCATTACTGTTGAGGGCATTATTGCCCACCCATGGTTCGCCGTAGGATGGGACTCAAAGTGGTTACGTGGGAGCTCTTAGATAAAGTTATGTGATTGTTAATGTGTGATACAGCCTCTCTTTTTTTTTTATTTTTCGTTTTTTTTCTTTTGTGTGTGTAGAGGCGAGGGGAAAGAGTTGACGTGCAGCAACAACAGAGTGAAGAAGAGGAGTGACAGTAATGTGAGGCCAGTGGATTAACTTCTCAAGAGTGTGTTTTGATTTTCGTTTTTTATGACGTTGTGCTTCATTTTTTTTCTCTATAGGTGTCTGTGCGAGGTCATTCTGATTGAAGGTTGGCACAATTCGCAGAACAGGGAACTTGTGAATGAATGAAACAATAGTAGCTATACGACGTCGTGCGACATGAATGCAGAGAGTCAAGGTGCTGCAGAAATATTGAGCTGAAAGAGTTGGGAATATAAATGATTCTGTATCCCTTCCCTTCAGTACTTGTTAGGTGTTCTTTTTGTATTTGATGTTTTCCGGTACCTTGTGTGACAATCTCTGTGCATTCTTTGCATATGCATCTGTGGATGTTTGACTCGTACTCCGCATGGGAAGCGTGTGATTGGGAGAGTGCATGAGTTATTGCACAGAATTATGTGAGTATATGCACGTTTTTCTCTAGTGTAGGATACCTAAAACATGACGAGTGTGTTTATCGTCTGTTTACACGCTTCTTAATGAGGAAACTATTCGATTTTTGTTCCTTCAATATGAGTTGTTTCTTCGTTGTTGCTTTTTTTCCGAGGTTTACCTGGCTTTCTTTTTAAAAAATTACCGCAGACCATCGGCACGGGTTGTGACAGATAGTTAGGACAGTGAGGTGGTAAGATAGTCCACGCAGCAGTGACTGTTAGTTGCAACATGCAGGACGGAAAGACAAGCGTGGGCCCATACGCTCTTGGGAAGAAGATTGGCTCTGGCAACTTCTCCATTGTGCGGCAGGCTACGGATCAGAATGGGCGCAGGTGGGCCATTAAGATCATAGACAAGGCTCGTCTCAGGAAGGAGAATATGGAGGAACAGTTGCAGCGTGAAGTGGAGATAATGCGTTCGCTCAAACACGAGAATATTATTTCTCTTCATGATGTACTGGAAACTGATGAACACTACTACCTTGTGCTGGAGTATGTGTCTGGAGGTGAGCTGTTCCAAAAAATTGTAGCGGCGAAGCGCTTTGATGAGCCGACGGCGAGAGAACATTTCCATCAGCTGATTGCTGGTATCCACTACTGCCACAGCAAGGGATACGCCCACCGCGATCTAAAGCCAGAGAACTTGATGCTCGATGCAAATGGGGCGCTGAAGATCACAGACTTCGGTCTTAGCGAACAACAGCAAGACAAAATGATGGAAACCGTGTGTGGCACGCCAAACTATGTGGCACCTGAGGTTATGAAGAGGCGCGGCTACAATGGTTTCGGTGCCGATGTATGGAGTTGCGGTGTTGTGTTGTACGTGATGCTTGCCGGCCGCTTGCCGTTTGAGGATCGTGGTATAAAAACTCTACTGGCGAAGATTGATCGCGGTGAGTATCATATGGTGCGTCACGTGTCAGACGCAGTGAAGGATTTAATATCGCGTATGCTGACGGTGGATCCACAACAACGCATTACTATTGAGGGCATTATTGCCCACCCATGGTTCGCCGTGGGATGGGACCCAAAGCGGCTACAGGAACGTGTTTAGAAAGCTTTCAAAACGCTGTAGTTTGTGCATCGTATCTTTGGGGGTTTGAGAAAATTTAGAGACAGAATGAACTGCAGCAAGAACTGCATGCGAATACAGAATGATGTTAACGTGAGAGTTATGTATCACTTCTCCTTACTTTATTGGGCGTTTTGTTTACTCACGTATGGATTCATGGACCTTCCTGAAATTTCTGGGAGGAGGGAAACTATAATGTTAATTGTTGCAAAAACTTCAGAGAAAAAAAAGGAATTGCGATGTCAGTGCGGCTCCATGAGAGACACGTGGCAGTGAGATGCGCATAGTGAAAACCAAGGAATTTCTGAGCTCTGTACACTGATAGTTTTTTGGGAAACAACCTTTGCACTTTTCGTTCCTATTTCATGGTACAAGCCATTTTGGTTTTTTTTTTCTTCTGTTTGCTGTTTGGAGATCTGATTGCCTTTGACTCCTTCTGTCTGTGTGTTTTTTGTGAGGATGTCTGCATATGTGTGTCTATAGGCATGTGTATGTCTTTTGCCAATTGCGTGGGATGCGAGGCACCATTTTGGTGCAGGTGCTAGTGCGAAGAGCTATATGCTCTTTTTTCTTTTGTGCAGAAGAGCCTTCTCTGAATCCTTTGATCACACGGGTGTGTTAGCTGTATGGTTGTACATTTCTTAATGACGAAACTATTTGAATTTGTGTTTCCTCAATATGAGTTGTTTCTTCGTTGTAGCTTTTTTTTTTCGAGGCTTATCTAGTTTTTTTTTTAATTTACCTCAGATCATTAGCACAGATTGTGACAGATAATTAGAACAGCGAGGTGGAAAGAGAGTCCACGCAACAGCAAGTGTTAGTAAAGTGAGCAGAAGATGTCTATAAATGTGGGCCCATACGCTCTTGGGAAGAAGATTGGCACTGGCAACTTCTCCATTGTGCGGCAGGCCACGGATCAGAATGGGCGCATGTGGGCCATTAAGATCATAGACAAGTCCCAGCTCAGGAAAGAGAATATGGAGGATCAAATTCTCCGCGAGGTGGCCATCATGCGCTCACTTAGACACAATAATATCATTGAGCTTCATGATGTATTGGAATCCAGTAACCATTACTACCTTGTTTTGGAGTTGGTTGCAGGAGGTGAGCTGTTTGATAAGATTGTTGCAGCAAAGCGCTTTGATGAGCCGACGGCGAGAGGCTACTTCCATCAGATGATTGCTGGTATGCACTATTGCCACAGCAAGGGATTTGCCCACCGCGATCTAAAGCCAGAGAACCTGCTACTTGACATAAATGGAACGCTAAAGGTTTCTGACTTTGGACTCAGCAACCTTCAGCAAGATTATCTTTTACAGACTGTATGTGGGACGCCAAACTATGCGGCACCTGAGGTTTTGATGGAGCGTGGATACAATGGTTTATCTGCTGACATATGGAGCTGCGGTGTTGTGTTGTACGTGATGCTTGCCGGCCGTCTACCGTTTGAGGACACGGACATGAATACTCTACTGGCGAAGATTGGGCGCGGTGAGTATCATATGGTGCGGCACGCATCAGATGCAGCAAAGGATCTGATATCACGGATGCTAACAGTGGATCCACAACAACGCATTACTGTTGAGGGCATTATTGCCCACCCATGGTTCGCCGTGGGATGGGACTCAAAGTGGCTTTAAAGGGGAGATTATTAGCTTCTGTCAACGGGGGGNATATTTTTCGTCTGGTGAAAGGGGGGGGGGGGGGAGAGAACAGAGTGTGTTTTTGTTTCTTTAACGGATGACTCTAGGTTTTTCTATCATCATTATAGGAAACGTTTATCTTTTTCTTCTTATGTGTTTGTCATATTATATTATGTTGAAGGAGATGGATGGCGTCATTTTTTCGTTTCTTGCCCAGCAGCGAAAGGGAGAAGAATGATATAATCTGCTTTGTTTCCTAAAGCAGTGAATTGCTGACACTCTTCTAGTTGTTCGAGTCTGGGACCAGTACGTTTTGTTATATTTTCGAAGGGTCAATTTCTCTCTTCACTTCTATTGTGGTGCTATACTTTACTAGGCGTAGTGCAAAAGTGGCGGTGTAGGGTTCAACGTTTGGGAACTTCACGCCGTATTGTGTGTTTTGAAGTCTAGCTCATTGTTGCCTTTTACCTCTCATTGACCAATTAAAATGATGTGAATGCGGTTTACTCATCGGTGACCAATTCTTTTATCTACAAATGTGTCTCTCAATGGGTGCTGACGATGATGCTGGGGTTTTTGTTAGGCCTAAGGTTTGCTGCTTCTCTATTTCTCTTTTGACTTCGTGGCACTGCATAAGGTTCACACTTACTTTTACAGGGGAGGTAAGGTAAGGTTTCAAGATGGGCCGAATGATTGGTAAATACGAACTAGGCGAGACGCTGGGCCGAGGTAACTTCTCAAAGGTAAAGGTTGGGTATGATAGAGAGGATGGGAGCAAATGGGCGATAAAGATAATTGACAGGAAATTGTTGGAGCAAGAGAAGACGATGCGACACATCAAGCGTGAAGTCGCCGTAATGAGAAGACTGAATAACCATAAGAATATTGTACAGTTACGAGAAGTTATGCAAACGCCGAACAATATATACTTAGTGTTAGAGCTTGTCACTGGCGGTGAACTCTTCAATGAAATTGTCAAATCGAAACGTCTTGATGAACCTACAGCTAGACGTTACTTCCATCAGCTGATCGCCGGACTTTATTACTGCCACAAGAAGGGATTCGCCCATCGTGATCTTAAGCCAGAGAATCTATTGCTTGATGAAAATCGAACGCTAAAAATCACAGATTTTGGACTTAGCAACCTAATGCCGTCCATAAACGGAAACTACGCGCTGATGCACACCATGTGTGGCACACCTACCTACGTGGCACCAGAGGTCCTTCGGGACGGCGGCTACAATGGCCACATCGCTGATATATGGAGCTGTGGTGTGGTGCTGTACGTGATGATTGCGGGATATCTCCCATTTGATGCTGAGACTATGAATGGGCTGTTCTTAAAGATTGAACGCGGTGATTATCGTAGACTGCGCACGGGGTCGAATGAGGTGAGAGACTTGATAGCTCAGATGTTAACAGTGGATCCACAAAAGCGTATCACTCTCGGGAAGATTATGGCTCACACGTGGTTTCAGATTGATTGGGATGCCTCCATGCTGAAAGGGGCGACAGATTCTTTAAACAGTACCGTTAGCAACAGGGCAAGTGAAGGCACAGTTATTTCCAATAATAGCGTCAACTCAGTTATTCAGAATGAAGTTGATGCATATGAGCCGATGCCTGTTGGTGACCCGAGTGCACTGAAGGACTCTATAACGGGGGATTATACAACATCTCTGTGGGATTTTTGGCCCGTCGGTGCCAATGCCGACCAAGGTATCGTCTTTGGGCCAAATGCGCCAATGAAGCATTCAGCATCACACTTTTTTTTTCGGGGAACCATCTTTGATGTGCAGCAAGCGTTGGAGCAGCTTGGTTCCCACCCTGTGATGAAGGATCCCGCGACACTGGAAGGACAAATCGAGTCAAAGAGTTGTCTCCTTTCCTACAAGGTCATCGTTAGCAAGACGAAGAAACCGGGTGTTATGTCCGCAGACATTTCTAAACATTGCGACAATGATGAGTACCGTAGTTCCTTTTACGACGGTCTGTGCAGGGTCATGGGAGACAAGATGAGTGCTGAGAGTGACAAGACGGACAGAGCATCTAGCACTTCTTCTTTGAATACCATGTACAGCTACTGATGGCGCCTTCTTTTGGTTCCTTTCTCCAAAGTTATTGTGTGAACTTGAGCGTGTATCTATACACACACGCACATATATATATATATATATATATATA